ACATATGAGCCTAACGGTCCATATTGAATATGGACCGATCTGACGATCACGGATATCTGGTAGTGTTTGAATTTTAATTTTTTTTCTACAAATTCAAATCAATTGAAATTTTAGGAGTGTGTTCATAAAAAATAGTTGAATCTTCGAAAACTATCAAAAAAATATTTTAAATGAAATAAATTGACAAACATACCCTTGAAAATTTTTGGGGGTATTTTGATCATTTTTTTTGTGAATAATTGTTTTTACATTTTCATTAGGTGCGCTTGAACACACGCCTAAAATTTCAAGTGATTTGGATTTGTAGAAAAAAAAATTAAAATTCAAACACAAAATGAGGTCGTGACTGTCTGATCGGCCCAGATTCAATCTGAGCCATTGGGCTCATATGAGCTAGTGGGCTCATATGTTCACATGAGCTATTGGGCCAATCCTAGCTTTTTCCATATATATTGTTAACTTTGAGCATAGAAATATCCATAATGGTTCTAAAATCAATTTTTAATAATCTACCTAAAAAGTTTGAAGCGCAAAAACTGGCAAGTGTAGGTCGAAATGAACAGTCTAGATAATATGTTACAATAATAACTATTTTCAGGGCTTGAAATCCTAACTTGTTTTTATAACTATAAATGGTCAAGGCTTGAGATTATGGATTTGAAGGATTTCTAACACTTATTTGATGAACTTCGAGGGGGAAGATTTACTTATTTTGATAGAACTACAACCCTATCTAAACACTTTCCCATAAATAGGATATTCACATTGTTTTAAAATATGTGTTAAATCTATATCGTTCAACTAAATCATGCCTAGGCTCTAAACAATCAAATTAGAGCCTACCTTCAAATAGTATCGAGAAATATGGATTCAATACTGGAAATCTTTACAATAGCCTTAAAATATACTTTCATCTCTAATTATAAAGTTTAATGCTTAAAAAATTGTGTAGATCGATTGATCTATGAAAACTAGAAAATCTTGAAAATTGACGGTCCAAAAATGCATTACATAATACACTATTTTCAGAATTTGAAATCTATTTTTTTTCTCATATCCATGCATCTTGATGTCAAAATGATCAATTTGAAGATATTTGGGCATCAAAACAACCTCTTGTAATGAAAATTTTGAGGTAGGTTCTAATTTGATTTCTTAGAGCCTCGGCTCTATATAAAATTTTTTATTTTTTTTATTTCTTGCTCCAAAAAGGAACTATAATTGAAGGCAAAGGCCATACTTTTCACAAAGCTCAACAAAGACTATATTGGTATTGTCATAGTTTCCAAGGCTACATATGGAATAAACCCTGCACTAATATCCTCTTAATTCTTTCCATTTTTGGATGGTAGCTGTCGAGGGATTCGGGCGGATTTGAGGTTCGTACATAGAATCAGTTTCCTGGTTGCTTAAGGTTGCTTCTTCTTCCTTTTTTTTTTTTTTTTTTTTTTTTTTTAAATTTCCAAATTTGGGAATTTTGATTTTTTAACATTTTCTTGAATTAAAGTTAGAAAAAAATAACTGCCATAAAAGAGAGAAGGAAACAAGAAGGTTATTAACGGACGAAAAGTGTAATTAAAGAAAAAATAATACTTATTAATGGATGAAAAGTTAAATTAAAGTAATAATAATACAATTGTTCGTAATATTCATAATAATCATATTAAACAGAAAGGAAGAGCGTGGAAGATGGGCCCTCTCTGTCTGTTGCTTTGAATTTCCGTCGGTGTTTTATCATGGGCTTCGGACCTTGTCTGGTAAGGAATCTTTTTACTGTTTTTTAAACAATTTTTATTTCGGTTTCTGTTATTTACTGCGTTGTTTATTTAATTATTCCAAGAATGTATGGTTATGGTGTATAAATTAGAAGGGCTTTCTCTGTTTTAGGATTTGTTACATGTTTTTTCTTTTTATTGCTTATATTGGGGTGGTGGATTTTAGATAGAGAAATTTCAGTCTCTGTTGCAGGATTTGTTATCTGTTTTTTCCTTTTTTATGCTTATATTGGGCTGGTGGATTTCAGAGAGAGAAATTTCAGTGGGGTTAGGCCTATTTGTCTTGTTTGGCAGTTTTCGCAAACTGTTCAAATTTTTGGACAGAGAATATGGCAATTTTTAGAGAGAGAATACAGCGGGTTCCAATCGTTCCTCTTTTGACAAAGTTGGGTTGGTTCCGTTGTGGCAATTCAGACTGTTGATGTGTTTTTTGGTAGGTATTTCTTTATCAGATTGCTGATTTCAATGCTTGTTCATGTGGCTGTTTTATGGAGTTTTCCTTTACGATGGTCGAATTTTAGCTTTCCTTAAAAGTTATTGCATCCTTTGTTATTTGTTGAGAGATGCTTAATGGGTTTCTTCGTTTTGTTTGGGCCTGCTGATTTTTTTTTTTTGTGAGAATGGGTGATTCTTCTAAATTTGTTTATTTATTTAGCAATGTATTGGTTCTCACTTTGAATGATTAATTTTAGGATTTTATTCTGAATTTGGATGAGTTCTTTCTTTTTTGTTCAACATATTGGAGCCCCTCTCTTAAGGACTTGAGATGTGTGTTTGCTGGATATGTGCTCTATGCCTATTTTAGTTGTTGTTCAAGTTTGTACGCCCTTAAAGATATTCATCATATGAAGTCACTGATGGTTAATTTGAATTTTCAGGCATCAGCTGACTAATTGCGGAGAAAACCATAATCTAGATCAGGAGAACCCAACAAAACTTCGAAATAATACCAGAATTTTTGCTGCAGCTGTGTAAAAACTCAAGAAACAGGACATGCACTAGTAGTTTAAAGATGGAGAAAGAAACAGAAGTCCACAAGTGTTCAGCATTGGTTGATGGTGAGGTAGCTGCTCTCAAAGAAGCACTTCGAACCCAACACCGACTTCTTCAAGAGCTCTATTCAGATTTAGATGAGGAGAGAGAAGCCGCTTCCACTGCAGCAAGTGAAGCCCTTGCCATGATTCTGCGCTTACAAGAAGAAAAAGCTGCAGAAATGATGGAGGCCCGACAATACAAGAGACTTGCAGAGGAGAAGATGCACCATGCCCAGGAATCTCTAGCAATCTTTGAGGACCTCATGTACAGGAAAGAGATGGAAATTTCTTCCCTAAAGTTTCAAGTTCAAGCCTATCAACACAAACTTTTGAGCTTGGGTTTCAGTGATCTTGAAGATAAGTCGAAAGCTTATTGTGGACATGGGGATCATGGATTGATAAGGAGGAATACTTCCTTGCCTATATTAAGACATAAAGATCCACAGTTTGAGAAAGGGAGTATGAGTGGGGGGCGTTCTTCTCTCCCAATTTGCTTAGAATCTGTTGGTCAAGTGCCTATACCGGAATCAGAACCAGAGGAGCTTGTTGTTCACTGCGAAGGTGCTGCCAAAGGCCCTGTAAATAAGCAAGATGGGAAGGTGCAATATGGGGGCACTTGCCCAATTGGAGATTGTGAAGAGGTTTCTGAGGAGCCCAATTGGGAGGATTGTGATTCTTACTTGGAGAGGATAGAGAAAATGAATGAAAAGATAGCGGAATTGTCTCAAAGGAATAGCGTTAGTGGTGGGGTTGATGCTGAATGGGCCACCACCAACAAGGAACTCCAAATGGCAATTGCAGCTTACTCGGCGAGTTTGAAGGCAGGGAGTAGGTCGTGTTCTTGGTATTCCACTCTTACTGGTGGAGAAGATCCATTTGATTCAGTCAGAGAAGAAAAGGCAAAAGATATGGGTCTGGGACGTTTAACAACCCAAATTGAAGAGGATTGTGATTCATCAGAACTCGATAGATTTATATCATGCTTTGGGCCTCAAATGACGGAAAAGAAGGTTGAGCGTTCAATTGATAAGGATTTGGGTGTTCATGATATTTTCGAGATTCAGCAAGATCATGACAAACCTGAAACTTGTGAAGAATTCCCTGACACATTGGTATTGGAAAATGGGGATAGGCTTAGGAAACCAGAAAAAACACCCACCAAAGTCAAAGGGCCATATGAATGGGAAGATCTGAATTGGATTAAAAAAGCGTTGCCATTTCTATGCCAAGAGAGAAAATTATCTACTGCAGAAAATGGTATTATGGGTGATATTGACCAATGCTTGAATTCCAAAAATTGTGATCCTTCTTCGCTAGTCGAAATTCAGGAGCTTAATTTGAGGTTGAAGAGACTAGAAGGCGAGAGGGAAGATATGAAGCGGGAGGCTTCCGAGAGGAGAGAGGAAGAGCTCAAGATGCTGAGGGATATAAGTGAGCAGCTTAACACAATACAGTCCCAGATAAAAATCCCAAAACCTCAGAAGCGTTCTTTACCAGATGAACCGTCTCTAGTATCTATTATGGAGGTACAAGTTTATGATACATTTTCCTCATTCTTATTCTTTTAATCACTGTTTCTATTCTTTTAATCACTATTTTTTTGAATGGTAGTTATAGGGTTAGATGGGAGAATATACGCTACAGTGTAATGGATTATGGAAAGGAGTGGTTGAGTCATGACCACCAAGGTGCAATGATGGACAAGAGGGAGAGAAACTGGAACCCACCATTAAGGGGCATTGTCCTGTTCTGGTGGATCCCTCTCTCTGTGTATAACCATGTGTCATTTCATCAGATGGTCATGACACCAATGGAGTATGGTTTTCCATGGTTCATTGACTATAGTATACTTTCCGTGGAGATTATAGTCACTGCAAGTAATGATGCAGTTTGTTGTGTGGACAGGCAATGCTATCCTTTTCCCTGTAGATCTCTTCGAGTGATTGAAAAGTTTCATGCTGAATGTTCTAGTGCATTCTTCTCCAACCACATTCCAACCACATTGTGCAGAACGGTCAAATTCTTTTTGAGCTTTATCACTGCTCATACGAATCTTTGGTGTTGATATTAAGTTTGGCTGCATCTATTAAGTATGTAAATCACAATTAATCTTTTTGCTTCTGTTGATAGTTTGTATAACAGCTAATTGTCAATGTTTGATTCAAGGGATAGTTACAAATAATACAGGATTGTTGGGATTGTTTTGTTTTGTAAAATCTTATAGCAGAACCAGACTACCAGTGTTATCATTTAGAAGACACGAATATATTTGTTGAGAATCTTGAGATATGGGATGCATCAAAAGAAGAAAGGAATCTCTAAGTTGGAGGGTATGAAACCCTCTTCTACATTGCAACATTAATAATTTCATAACAGGAAAAAACTTCCTTTGTCATTATGCGAGGAAGATTGCAGAAAGAGAATGAACTATAGGCTGGAAGTAAGAAATAAAACGACAAGATGGAAAGTGAAAAGAAGACAAAAAAAGAGAGATTGATAAGTTTGAATACGGGGGTTTCTGAGATAAAGCAATAGAGTATGAGCAAATTTTATGGACATATGAAATTATTGTAAATAAATTTATGTGATTATATTCATTGGTTAGTGAGGCATGACACCAAATGATGTCTGAAGATGGTAGTTCTGTCTTCTTTTCTTGAGCAGGATAGAAATGGCTGGGTTTAATATCCAGGAGGTCCAACTCTAATACTAAAGTTAAAGAATCAATCATATTAGTGATTGAATTATGGTCCTATCATTTATGTATATGTAATTAAATAATAATTTGACCTTCAAACAGGAATTCAAGTCTCTAGTACTCTTATTTTGATTCTTTATTCCTCAGTAACTATTTTGTTAATACGTGAACGTCCCAACGGGGGGACTGTGTTGGGTGGCTCACATGTTAAATTGGTTCTCTCGATAACAAATATCACTATGTGTATGCCATCCAACATGCCAAATTATGGTTGCTTCCTGAGATAAGAAATTACTTATTTGTGTCTGTTTTGGAGTCGTATGCGAAAATGTTGGTGACATGGGGAATCAAGAGGGGTCAAGTCATAATCAAAATTATGCAACTTCAAAGGCGAGGCTCTTGAATCTTCTTTCCATAACTCACCTCCATTTTTAAACATTTTTGAGAATCCCATCAATAAATTTCTAGAAGTATCCTTTCTAAATAAGGTTTAATTCCTAACAAAAGGTTTTTCAAACTTATGGCCATGCTGGAAGAACCCTATGTCTGCGTGCCAGTGTTGTCTTTGTTGTGTTAAAGTACCATGGTCAAGTGGCTTGGAGCTCTTCATTTGAACCATTAGATATTGTTTTAATCCACACATGCTTATCCCTTGTACTGTTTTGGTCATATTCTCTCTTGTTATAGCTAGAAGGCTATATTTACTGTAGTTTTGAACCATTTCTTCCTCGACATGGTATTCAGACTGGGATGTGACAAATCACAAGCAATTATAGCAGATTGGGCAAAACGGTAAAAGTGAGAGAATTACCTGTGGAGTTCATTTAAATGGTTGGTTTCATTTTGAACTCATTTGAATAAACAATTCCTTCTTAAGAAGGTGGGTTTTCTTCCAAATAAATAAGATTAAGAAACTTTTGCAGTGTGAACAAACCCAATCGGTTCCCCCTGTATAGATTACTATTTAATTACTTTTTGCACGTATCTAAGATATGGTTAGAGAGGTTCATATTGTTCTTTGAGTTTTATACTAGTGGTTTCAGAAGATCAACTGGTAAGCACCTTTCGATATCATTCTTTGTTTATGTTTATCTTATCTTTGTAGTTTCTATTTAAAATGGGTGCACAAAGATCGTATGTGTTTAGTGGTAGAAGAAAGAAAGAAAAAAGTATGCGTTTATGACTCTAAACCTTCACCTGGCTAACTTTGGGAGCATCTTTAACTGGCTGAGATATGCAGATTAAATTGAGTTATTAGGTTGAGGAAAGTTTTTCTTTATAACTAGATATATGTAATTATTCAGGACATACGAATACACATTTAAAATTTGGTTTGTCCATTTGTAATATTTTGTATGCTAGAAATGTAAATTGTAGTGATGTTATGTATCGAAGGAATTTCTAAACCTTTAATTTTAGATGAAGGATTTTGGATTATTGTGAGAGATTCTAAACACAGAAGAGTACTTTGAACAATTTAAAAATGGTCTTGTTAATTTTTCCATTATAAAGAAGTTTTTGACCACATTGAGTGGAAAGATACATGCCACCCCTAATGCAAACAATCTGGCCCTGAAGGAACACTATCTGAACAACAATGGCTCCAAAGGCATTTCATAACTCTTCTTGTCTGAATGTCAATCATTCCCACCTCCAAAATGCTTTGAATCTCTCTCTCTCTCTCTCACCAAATCCCTAACTATACAATCTATCTATATATCTTCTCTCTCTCTCTCTCTCTCTCTCTCCCTTTCTCTCTCTCTCTCTCCATCTATCTATCTATCACTCTTCACCACTACCACCACTATCACCTCAATAATGAAGTCAAATTGGTCCTCCCCTTTGCACTTCACAGGATATTGCAGATGGGTTTCTCTATAACTCGCCTCCTATATCTCCTCTTCTTCTACCCCTGCCTACTAGCTCTATCTACCCATAACATCCACACAGATCATGAAGCGTTACTCGCATTTAAGCGAGGCATTTTAGACAACAGTTATGGCATTCTCTCCAATTGGGACAGGCACCATCCTGTGTGCAATTGGACTGGTGTTTCTTGTAAACACCACAGGGTTACCATGCTCAACCTCAAAAGAAGCAATCTTAGTGGAACAATCTCTCCCTCTCTCTCTAACCTCTCTCGACTCACGACCCTTGACATCTCAGAAAACCACCTCAATGGACGTATTCCATCTGAACTTGGCCTTCTCTCTAAGCTCTCGATGCTCGACCTCCATGGAAACCAGCTTGTAGGTCATATTCCGGCTACCCTTAGTCAATTATCAGGCCTCGTGTTTTTGAACCTCGGTGGAAACCTGCTTGTGGGTCAGTTCCCAATGACCTTACTCCAAAATTGCAGCACCCTGTTTGTCTTGGACCTTTCTGAAAACAAATTTTCTGGTGAGATTCCACCTGAAATTGGGAACTGGTTGCCTAATATTGAAGACCTCTTCCTATATTCTAATCAATTTAGTGGAAATATACCGTCTTCTCTTGGAAATTGCTCAAATTTGAGCTCTTTGGATCTCGAATATAATCACCTTAATGGAGAGTTGCCTTTCGAGATTGTGCAGAGGTTGCCGAAAATGGAATACCTTCATCTCGCTCATAACAACCTGGTGAGTCACGATAACAACACGAATTTAAGGCCTTTCTTTGTTTCTCTCTCTAATTGTTCAGGTCTATTGGAGCTTGAACTCCAAGGAAATATTCTTGGAGGTGAGATTCCAGATGATATAGGCCAGCTCCTTCCAATCAGTCTCTTGCAGCTGCAATTGCAAGAGAATCGAATCCATGGAAGAATCCCACCAAATATAGCTAACCTCTATAACCTGACCCTGCTAAATTTATCTGCTAACTTCCTAAATGGAACTATTCCACAAGAGATTAGCTTGCTATCTAATCTACAGAGGCTTGTGTTGTCAAAAAACTTGTTAGAAGGAAATATTCCAGCTAGTTTAGGAAATTTGGATCGATTGGGAGAACTAGATTTGGCTGAAAACAAGCTTTCAGGTGAAATTCCAGCTTCTCTCTCAAAGCTATCTCAGTTGAGGCGTCTCTTTCTCCAGTGGAATTCTTTCTCTGGAAGAATTCCCCCCAGCTTAGGCAGGTGCATCAGGCTTGAGCTAGTAGACCTCTCTCATAACATGCTCACTGGACCCATCCCATTTGAATTTGTGGCAGGATTGCACAATCTGTTCTTTTACTTCAATCTCTCTCATAATTTCTTAAATGGTTCGATCCCTTTAGAGCTTAGTAAGCTTGACAAGGTTATTGCGCTTTCTCTCTCGTCAAATAACTTCTCAGGCTCCATTCCTTCACAAATTGGGAGCTGTGTAGGGGCTGAGTCAATCAATCTCTCTCATAATTCACTTCAAGGGCCTATTCCTGAGGCATTAGGGGGCCTTTGGAATGTCCGAATTCTCGATCTCTCCTTTAACCATCTTTGCGGTGAGATACCTGAATCCTTAGAGAGATGCACAGCTCTATCCCTGTTAAACCTATCATTCAATGAGCTTAGTGGACCTGTACCCAGTTCTGGTCCCTTCACCTACTTCTCCAATTCTTCATTTTCTGGCAATCCCAATCTTTGTGGGTCATTTTCTGGCATGTCACCTTGCCAGAATAAAAAAAAGCACAAATCACACCACATTAAGGCCTTCTTTCTAGTGATTGCCATTGTTTCTTCAACTCTATTTCTTCTCACTGTAACCAGCGTGTGTCTCTCCATGGCCTTAAAGACAGTGGGTCCCACCACAACCGAGCATTCTACACCAATTGATATAAAATCAAAGTACCCAAGAATCAGCTACCGAGAGCTCGAAGAAGCTACAAATGGATTCGACAATGAACGACTGATTGGGTCAGGAGGCTTTGGCCAGGTCTACAAAGGAGTGATGAAAGATGGAACAGAGGCTGCCATAAAAGTTTTGAATTTGCAGGGAGGGAATTCAACCAAGAGTTTCTTGAGAGAGTGTGAAGTTTTGAAGAAGATAAGGCATCGAAATCTAATGAGGATCATAACAGCTTGTAGCTTGCCTGATTTCAAGGCCTTGGTGCTTCCCTTCATGGCAAATGGAAGCTTAGAGAGCTATCTATATGGGCCTAACGGTGGGCTTGGCCTTGGACAAGTTATTAGCATTTGTAGTGATATGGCTGAAGGGGTGGCTTACTTGCATCATCATGCACCAGTTAGAGTTATACACTGTGATTTGAAGCCTAGTAATGTTCTATTGAATGAAGAGATGATGGCTATGGTTTCGGATTTCGGGATTGCAAGGTTGGTGATGAGGGTGGCGGGGGATGGAAGCGTTGCAGGTGGCGAGGCGGCGGTGGAAAACACTGCAGATGTGTTTTGCGGGTCCATCGGATATATTGCTCCAGGTAGCATTTGTTCTCTCTCTACTGATCTTTCTCCTAATCTCTTAAGATCTATCTTCTTCTCTTACTTGTCTGTCTTTGATTTGATTACTTATATTACCAAATATTTCTCTCTCTCTCTTACATTGCACCGGACAATTCTCTCTCTCTCTCTCTCACCATATTGCACCAGACAGCTCTTTCTCTCTCTCCATATGGCAGAGAGAGCTCTCTCTCTCTCCATATTGCAGGAGACAGCTCTCTCTCTCTCCATATTGCAGAGAGAGCTCACTCTTCCTCTCTCTGACGACTAATTCAACTTTAAATATGTGGGTCCATTGATGCACTAGTCCAGTTTCTCTCTCTCACACACATTAATGCTGGTCCAGGCTCTCTCTTTCTCTCTCTCTCTTCTCCATTGATGGCATTGGTTCAGGTACTCTCTCCCTCTCTTTCACTCAATCTCTCTCCATTGATGACATTGACTCTTCCTCCTCACCCCCTCCCACTAGTTGCCTAGTGAATGTGCTCTGTGGGTCCATGGCTCTGTCAAAGTGGTGAAGCTTGTTTCCAAATTTGTAGAGATTTAGGAATGCCTATAGCTTTCACATAGCATTTTAGGTTTTGCAATGCTTGCCTGGTCACAGACCACCCAAAGTAGTAATAACAATTGTTTCATGTGGGCTGGACCGCATTTATACAATATGCGGAACCTCCATCTTAAAAATGGGTGCAAATAGGTGGCCCATCTAAAAACAGATGAAACTAATGGTCCAAATGTTTTTTTAATAGAATTATTATTTTTAGTTTTCAAAATTTATTAATTTTCTCCTATTCATGATCTCAATGTCAAAGATGATATATTTTCTAAAAATCAGGATCAAATTCTATTTCAAAAATAAATTTATTAAGGGGCCCGTATTTCTACATGTGCGGGCTTGGCCGCATGCTAACCGCGTCCAAGTAGTAATACTCACTGGCCATGTTTATAACACTAAAAAAAAGGGGATTTCTAGCTCAGAAAGTTCCTCAAATTAAAATCTCTCTCAAGATTGATCTAGACTGTCCATTTTTTATGGGGGTCATATCTGGGGAATTTTGAGCTAAAACATATTTTTTATGAAACTGATCTTCAGATGCAAGAAAAATATTTGAGAATATTTTGGGTCGCATAACAAATTACTCATAAGTTCTAGAAGCAATCATTAAAAATAAATAAAAATAATAAAGAGAGCTATTTTCTTAAGCTTAAATAACAGAACAAAAGAAAATTTACGAAGTCTCCTCGTTTCGTTAGGTAAGAGGTGGGATTGGAACCTTTGATGTTCTGCTGCTGTTGCTGCAGTTGTTGGCATTCTAACCATCAATGTTGGAACCCAAACTCTGAGACCCCCATAACCCTAAATCATTGGCAATGAAATAGAAACCTCCTTATCAACTTCTTACTGCTCCTCCAAAAGAAACCAATGTAGACCCTGGTTATGAAATGAAAAGCTACCATGCTGTCTAGAGCTAAAAAAACAAGAAGAATATGTTCCACCCCATCCATGCAAAATTCGAATCGCGTTTCATTATTTGACAGCAACGAAATTCAATTTTTGCAGAGTATGGGTTCGGGAGGAGTCCCTCTGTGAAGGGAGACGTGTATAGCTTCGGGACCATGGTGTTACAGATAGTAACAGGGAAGAGACCAACAGATGAAATGTTTGCTGGAGGATCAAGTTTACAAAGATGGGTGAGAAACCATTATCCAAGACACATCGACAAAGTGCTCAATAGCAGGTTAGCCTGTGCTACCATGGATCAAAGCCCAGAGGTGAAGAAGATGTGGGACTGTGCTATACTAGAGATTGTGGAACTTGGTCTGCTGTGCACACAGGAAACACCCTCTACTCGACCTAGCATGCTCGACGTAGCCGACGACCTTGATCGACTCAAGGGTTATCTAGCTGGTGATACAACTGCAACTTTTGCGTCTTCGTTAGGTATATCATCTTCCACCATAACTGGTGATGATGATGATTAGGATTGTGTTTTGAACTGTCTTGTTTGAAGCTGCATGGGGGCATGTTTGTACTGTGTATTTGTCAGGGTTAACGATGTATTGATTTCTTCTATGGTTGGAATTTTTTATTTTTTTTTGAAAATTAACTATTAATTTCATTAGATAAAAGCGTAAAATTCCATAAATACAACAACGAACGAGAGAAATATATTGAAGAATACAAGCAGTAGTCCTACTTTTTTGGATTGATCCATCTTGACTTTCAAATACAACATAAACCGTATGGTTGGGAAGTTTGGTGACAAGTTTCTTGGAAATTCATTTTACTTTATTTTATCATGACAAGCTCTAATGACAATAGTAACTCCAATGATATGAGTAATGAACTTATGAGACCTTTTCACGTCCATGTGTGTAGGACTCCAAATTATCACCATTAAATTTAACACATATTTTAAAAAGTCAAGTTCCACACTCATGTGATAACTTTTTTAGAGATCTGTGTCAAATTTAATGGTGATCTTTTAAGATCCTATTTATGGGTGTGGGAGGATCTCATAGGATCATTACTCTAATGATTTATTAAAGTTTCCCATTATCATCATGATAAGAGCCTTTCTCAATAGTAAAACCTTTATATAAGATTGCAACCTTAAAATGTGGAATTAGGGTGCACCTCAAAAATCCATCATAAAAGGTTACTTTGATGTCGGACAACCCTCTAATTAATCATCTCGACATCGAGATATATGAATATTTGAAGTCTTAAAAATAGTGTATTTTGTAATACATTATCTGGACACTCTATTTTCAAGATTTCTAAGTGTTTATAAGTCTACTTGATTTGAACCATATTTGAAGTTTAAGATTTTATAAATAGAGATGAAAATAAATTCTTAAGCCATCCTATGAGTTTTTGACATCATAATAAAATTTAGAGGTACGCTTTAATTTGATTGTTTAAGATGGCAACCTTATACAAACCACACCGTTCTGTATAATATGAAATAAAACATGGCAACTTAAGTATGACAAGGAAAATGTAACTCACTTCTAAATAGCTATTAATAAGGAAAATACAAAGAAGGATAATGGATATGCAAGTTAAAGCTAACATGATGGATGCTAAATTAGGAACGGCCATGATCGGAAAATAGGTATACATCCACAAATGAATTATTAGTTCTTATAGGAATCGGGCTTAGGTTGGAGCGGTTAGCAGACGTTTCGCAGTGCTACATCTCAAGTTCGATTAGTGCTAACAAAAAAGAGTATTAGTTCTTATAATGTTTTTACTCGAGAGACGTGTGCATAGCACTAATTTACTGAGAAAACATGTGCATTGCACTATCTTACGGAAGGTTTGAAAAAGCGGATAGGTGATCCAGATCGGTCACACTTGGGTTGGATCGGTATATCGGAACGTAGAATCAGCTGAATCGTTAATTTTTGTTCCAATTTTTTTTTTTCAGAAAATCACTATCTAAGAAATTGGGAGTTGCTTACCTTTTTTTTTTTTTTTTTTAAGAAATTAGGATTTGTTGATTGTGTATTTTAATTACTTTGTAAAAATAGGTAAATACTGAGACGTTGTTTTTATATATGGATGTTTGTATAATTATTAATAGTATAATCCGTATAGCAATAATTATTTATTAAGTAACGTAGCAATTTAATATATTAAATTATGTGATGTTTTAATGCACTTATAACAATTAAAATTTCAATATAGCAATAATAATTTTAACATAATTATATAAATAAGTTAACAATTTTTACATAATTATACTCATTCAACATAATAATATTAATGTAACTTTAATATGATCATATTCACATACTTAAAATTTCATAGTAGATGATTAACTATGAAATTAATTATATGGAGTTCTTTAGTAAAAGGCCAACTTTTTAATGTATAATCTAATTTTTGTAAATTAATTATATGAATTTTTTTTTTATAATTAAAACTAACCTGTGTGTAGTTTTACTTTTTATGAATTATAAAAATAAAATAAATAATATTAATTTTTTTTATAAAAAAACTAACTTTTATTTTATACACTATTTCATTGACCTTGTTTAAGCAAGAGAGAATCTCTAATGGGAATGTTAAAGCACAAGTGAGATGGAGATATTAATGGAGTTGCAAAAGGAAGAGGGAGACAAGGAACCACGTGCAAAGGAGAGAGAGTTAACGGACCTCGTGCAAAAGAAGAGAGAGACTTAATGGACCTCGTGCAAAGGTGAATGGGACAAGTGGCGACATAGCATGCGTGAAATTTACAAAGAAGGTTGATCAGCATGTTTTTTTTTTCAAAATTGTTTCTATGTCAATTTGAATTTTGATTATGATTTTTTTTATTTTTATTTTTTTAAATTTTTTCATTAGTAGGGCAGTGCCTTAAAGTTTGAGAAAGTGCCCTATTAAAGAAAAAACTAAAAAAATAATAATTTGAAGTTTGTATTAATCGAGGGGTAATCTTGCATAAATAAAAAAAGGCCGATTGACCGATGTTCTTTATAATTTCTGCCTATATGTGGAGTATTTTGTATTTTAATTAAAATTTTAAGAGTCGGTGCATAAATCACTCTAAAAAAATTGATTAGGTAAGGAAAGGCATGATCATAGCTCAACCAGGGTCCACATTATTTAAAATGGTTGAGGGAAATAAGATGGGTCTAATGGAGGGCGAAAAGTTATACTTATTTACGTAGCAAGAAAGTAAGTAATAAAACAAAAGATTTATCGTTTGATAAATAGAAGAAATAGATGTCACGATTATCTGCCTTTGATTCAAGGAGATCACAAGTACATTTATATGTGAGTTGAGCAATCAAGGTGCGTCATTTACCAATATTAAAGTCTAAAAAAAAAATAAAATAAATTCTCACACTTTTTAATAAATATTTTGAGTTATATGATTTCTGATTGCTAAAAGCGATTGTGGTTGTTGATAAGGCAACAATATTTACAATCTTGACATCCAGTTGACTGCACCACCACCACCTTGAAAATGTACCCAGTGGTAGACATTCTAATGTCTCGGCACCTTGTATAATCTGCATCTACATAATCTACAACTTCCTATGATGAGTTTCCAAAAAACAAATATACATTTCGTGTCCCCTTCAAATACTGAAGGATCCACTTAACTGCTTGTTAATGTTCCAACCTGAATTAGACATAAATCTGGAAACAATTCCCACTGCATGGGCAATATCAGGTCTAGTACAAACTATCGCATACATTAAACTACCCACTGCAAAAATATATAGAACATTCTTCATCTTACTTTTATTTACCTCATTTATTGGAGAGTCATTTTTAGACAACTTAAAATGTGCAGCTCATGGTGTAAAAATAGGTTTACAGTCAATCATATTAAAGTGCTAAAGAATTTTAGAAATATATTTAGATTGACTTAACCAAAGTTTACCTTGCTATCTGTTTTTATTCAAATCATTACTAGCAACTAACATATCATTAACATAAAACAATGAAACAATAAAAGAATCATATGTTGAACCCTTAATGTGCACACAATGATAAAATTCGCATATAGAATAGCCTTCATCCAACATAAAAGTGTCAAATTTCTTATATATTTGTCTAGATGCTTGCTTCAAAACATACAACCCCTTTTCAACTTGCAAACCAAGTTAGAATTGGTTTTGTCTTCAAAACGATCAGGTTGACACATATAAATTTCCTTTTCAATATCACCATGCAAGAAGGCAATTTTAATATCAAGTTGTTCTAGCTTCAAGCTTAAGTTAGCAACCAAAGGTAAAACAACTCTAATAGAGTTATGTTTCATAACATGAGCAAAAATTTCATTAAAATCAACACTTGCCTATGACTTTTCACCACAAGTCTGGCCTTATATCGCATAAGACTATTGGCTTCTCACTTAATTGCATATACTCTCCTATTCTTCAATGTTTTTTTCCTATGTGAAAGTTCCACCAACTCCTCTTTACTATTTTTATTCAAAACATCAATTTCTTCTTCCATTACGTTATGCAACTTTTCATCATTAGGGCAATAATATAGCCTCCTTAAAAGACTCAGGTTCACCACTATCACAAGGCGTAACATAAGGAAGGAGAGTACCTTTATGTGGTTTTATGAGGACGTATAGATCTTCTCAATTCTGACACAGGTATAACCGGTAGGCCTTCTTTATCTTCAATCAATCCAGTGTCTTCCTTATAACTAATATCGTCCTGAACACTACTTTGAGTTTGAGTCTCTTGCACTTGTTAAGGTGAAACAATGGGATTTCGGACTTGCATATCCAAACAAATCTTTCTTGTTTTGGCTCTTCTCGCTTATTTTAAGAAAACATCATATTCTCATTAAAAAGAACATCTATACACCTTACAATCTTCTTAACAATAGGATCTCGAATCCTATAACCTCTATCATCTAGGACTAGCTATGGACCTGAACCCGACTCGGGACCTTGTTTGGTATACCCGAATCGGGTCCGGGTATGGGTCCAAACCATGGACCTGTGGGTAGGGCCCGTGTCCTTTTGTAATGGACCCGAAGTTGTACATGTTGGGCAGGGGTCCCAATGGACCCGCCATGGTAGCGTTATTAATAAGATATTATTTTAAGTATATATTTAATATATTAAGTAAATAGTGATTCATTATTAAGTATTAATTACAATCTTATTAAATATTTTAACACATAATTAACTAATTAAAATATAACCTAACTATAATTAACTTATAAACTAAAATATAACCCTAACCCATTGTTTTAAATTATTTTACCCAACCCAAACCTAAATCTTAAATCCCCAAATCGCCATTACAGATTACACCGTCTGCAACTTCCTCTCTCACTTTTTGAGCTCTATGCTTCTTTCGGTCTCTTCCTCTCTATTCGACTTTGAGCTCTCTCCCTCTCTCTGTACGAAGTGTTGAAGTCTTGTCATTATCAGGTAAGTTCGCCGCATCTCTGATTCTCTCTGAGGTCTCTGCGCTCTCTCCCTCTTTTAGCCCAGCAGCCTTGAAACCCTAGCTACCAGCCCAATAGCTCACCACTCTCTCAATCTCTCTGCTATTGCTGAATTAAAGAAGGAAGAAGGTAAGA